TGTCCAGAATGGCTAAAAGTCACTCCCTTTCTCTTAACTCCATTTCAGTCTGTGGAGGAGAAAGGCAACCCCCTTCCAACTCCAGCTCTTAAATGCCTTATGTCCAGAAGCAGTCTTAGTCTCCATGCTTCTATCCCATCCTCCATTGGACAGTTGTATTCTGCACACCTCACAAGGGGAAGAGACAATGATCCATGAATCATAGCTGTGCTTCTAAACCTTGATTAAGGATCTTTAACCATGAGGCCAGCAGGCCCCTTAGTGATCCAGCTAGAGATGCATTAGAATTTAAAACAATTAGCTGCAACAATAGCACAGTGACAGAGCATTGCATGCGAGATGGCAAATGAAAAAACATGCAGAGAAGAAGCATCGAATGGTCTTACTTGTGCAAACTAGTGTCCAGGCAAGGTGGTGAGGAGGGAGGATGGGGGAAGCATTAGGAAAAACTCAGATAAGTTCAAGTGCGCCAATAGTCAATGAACACAATCAAGCATACTCTGTGATATCCTAAACTGCAAGGAAAAGAATCTACTATTTCACATCTCAGGCTGGTGGAGTTTTCAGCATTATCTACCCTTTGGAGAACCGAAGCCTCTGCCACAGACCCACCAAACTAAGGCTAGGTCACTTTTTCCCTTTCACATGCATCAGGGATAGTTACAGCATAAAGGGAGGGACTAAATCCTATTTCTAGTGAGTTTTCTAAATTTACTCCCCTTGTTCCGGCAGTTCAAAAGCCATGAGCAGAATGCCACACAGACCCAAAGGTAGGTTGTGGGCCCAGGGGGGAAGAAATTCCAATTGGGAATTAGCTTTCCTGACAAGACATTTTAAGAAAAGTTTCCAAAAGCCCATCACCCCAATCAACCCAGGAGTGTCTGAAATGCAGAGGGGATCCTCCTAGATTGAGGAGTTAAGAGCTAGACTGTGCGGTTTTCTGGCCCATTCACTTTAGAATATTTCAGTTCCTGCTAAAATTGTTTTGAAGGGATAGCAGGAAAATCAGGATTATGTTTACCAAAAATAAAACCTTCTACTACTTTCCTCCCCCATCCTCCCCACTATGGGAATCGCAAACTTTAATGTTTAAGTTAAACTAGCAATTACAATCTTTAGGGGCTATTATAGGATATTATTTCCTTCAGCAGCCCAATTTCTTCCACAGTGGAGCAATGAGAAAGGAAGTGAAAAGACAGTGAAGGTCAATACCCCTTGACTATTTCTTTAAATAAAAATCTGGAGACCGCCCTGAAAGGTTCCATACGAAGCCGGTCGTCCTGGCTGTCTCCAGGGAGTGGAACTACGCAGTGGCAGGCAGCGGTGGGAAGAGACACTTTTTGTTCTACGTGCATATATTACTTACTTCAAAAACTAATAAAATTAAAGTTGAAAATAATCTGGAAACTAAGGCAGAACATGCTCTCGCCAGGAGTGAAGAAGGTGACTGAAATCTCATGGTTCAGCCACAATACTGGTGATGTGCACTGTCACCTGTACTAGGTCTTGGGAAGGTAAGTGAGAAGGGGACAGGCTGCTAGTGAGAATCCAGGCCTCACAGAAATGAGGTTTCTGGATTGTCTAAGTACAACCCACTGCTCCTCAAGTTGCACATATACGTCAATATTAAGAGCAGTGGCAGAACCATTACTCAGCTGACTTCCTGAAAGCTGCCCTCCTAAGGCCCACAGGGACATGCAGGGGCCAGAGACATTAGCTGACATCAGGAAACATCTCAGGCCTCTCCCACTCCCGCCAGGGCTCTTGAAGTAGCTGAAGGTCTCCCCACCCCATTTACTCCTCCCTAGTGATGGAGAGTCATTTAGCTGAGCCTTAGGTGATGGAGGCAACTTAGCTCCTCTTGTATTTACCATCCAGTTCCTATATACTTCTATACTGGCATTCTGGGCTACATGCTGCAGGAAATGAACACTTACGGTGTGCTCTCCCCATCAGCCACCCCACTAGATGCTACTAAAATAGGCTGCTCAGGCTCAGCAGGGAGGAACAGCCAATCAGGGATGCACATTCAGTTCTTCCATGCCTGGGATGAGGGTCATGTTCTTTTTATTAAGAGATAGCCCATAACTTCAAAAGGAGAATTACAATGTATTTTTTCGTTTGGAAAGGGGACTGCTATATTACCTGTCTGTATCACAGCCAGCGACAAAGGGACAAAGTTCCACTCATTATCTCACCATGAAGGCTTGATATTTTCTAGGCAGAGGCCTAGGCCAGAGTTGAACAGTCTCTGAACTATGGTAGTAGAATGGAGTCCTCGGTATACATACTCCTGCCCTTTGAGGTCAGAGACTGCTCCCTAATAAGATACCTCTTAGAGTGACAGGTCTACACCTAGGTCCTGAGCAATGACAACATCTGCATTATCTCCAGATACTCAAGTTTGGGGGACAGACTGACATGCCAGCAAGTACAGAAGCAACAAGGAACACACCACTCTGAGAGGGGACAGGGAAGGTGTTCCCCACAAAGTAGGAACCACTTCCACATGGGGGAAATCAAATAAGGAATAAGTGAGTACGCCAAGCCATACATTATAAGCCAGCCACCAGCATTCTCCAGAACTAACCAGCCCCACAGACATAACCACAGGACTTACAGACACACATACTGAGCCTGTTCCCACTGACTCTTGGTCACAACTTTATTGAGATCTCACACCATCAGTGTGACCCTAGCCCAGCTCTCCTTGGAAACTACAGAACCTAAAACACATCCTATAAGACATGTTAACAGATCTTTGCTCCTCTTGGCACTTACATATAGAATTTTTACTATGTTGATTTCATTCACTCAATTTTTTCTTTCATGTTTCCTACATGTATCCTAACGCCCCCATTAGTCTGGGTGATTTTTGAGGGCAGGGACATTTCTTCCTCTGCATTGCACAAAAATCAACAGAGAATGAACACATTCAATAAATAATGCTAAGTGGTTTCCCTTATGGTTAAAATGTGTCCATAACTAATTCCTTCCCCTTGAGTTCTTCTTGAATCTGAAAGTGCTACCAGGGCCTCTCCTCTGCTGATATGAAAGATTTATGTGCTTCCTCAAATTTGTTTCGCTCTAACCAGGTTCCTTATCTTCCTAAAATCTCGAATTCATTTTCCTGCTCCTTGGCCAATGGATACTGTATATTCACATAAAAGAGTATTCCTCAATACTTCAAAGTCTAGCTCTTGTTAGGATAATAACAAACATGTACTGAGCAATATATTTTATGAAATAGAAGGCCTAGGTCTTAACCTCAAGCAGTTTGTAAGTGCTCAAGATTCATGAATCATTACCATGGACTAGTACCTAGAGCCCTAACTAAGTCACTAGCCCCCAACCTGTTTTAAGATATTCCAATTGTATTTAAAAGGCCCAAGTACCAGGCCTCTTAGCTGTAATTCCACTGACCTGACTCTCCTTCCTGGCATTGCTCATTTGCAAGCCTGCGACATACATACCACCCAGGCTGGGTTGGCATACCCGCTTATTGCTGTGGGTGGCTCACCAGAAAAGGGAAAGGGCCTGCCTGGGGGAGAGAGATCAGAGTCCAGAGGAGTCCTGAGGCAGCACACAGTCTTACCGCATCAAACTCCGCTTGATCATCCTCAGGCAGGTCGCTGGTTTCATAAACATCTGGCTCGTTCCTGGCCTGCAGGTAGAAGCAGTGACCACCCAACCTCACTACCCAGCATCCACCAACACCCCTAACCCCACTCCATTTGAACAAGTTAACAGAGAAAGCAGGCTGTGACGCCACGATTCTGCCCCTTCTTTCACCTGCCCCGTGACCTGCCTGTCAGTTCCCATGTCTCAGAGGGGTGGGGATAACAGTGGGGACATCTGATGGTTAATGGTGAATGTTAAGTGATGACAAAGATGTCACCCTGAATCTGAAGGGGGGCGGGTCCTCGGCACTCATGTCAGGAGGAGAGGAGCTATCATTAGGCCCTGTACACACTACCCTGGCACAAGGGCTGAGAGTGACTCAGGACCTTAGTACCCAAGGTCCTATCCCAACCCCCACCCCGAGAATGCAGGCAGGGCAGCACAAAGGGAGGGTACATGCCGGCCTGTGCGGGGGTGGTTTGGTAAGGAGGTTCCCCAGAGGACATAGTTCTGCATCTGGCACAAGAGGGATTCTGTCACGGTAACCTCGTCACTCTTGCCAGGGTGAAGGCCATCACCAAATGGTCTGGTATGTGTGTCTCGGGAGGGGGTGGGGGGCTCATGGGAAGATTTGGGGAGACACGGGTGGTGTTGACACGGATGGCAGAAGCACTCGAGCACAGTGCTAAGTGCCTGGAGATGATTTCTGACCCGAGAAACCGGCGACTGCCGGAAAGGGGCCTTGTAGGCCGTCCCACGGCCCAGCCTAGTCGGGTAGAAGGAGTCCGGAGGGTGCAGCGGCCGGTCGGGGAGCTAGCGGCGGGAGCCCTCGGGGCGGAGGAGGGGTTTCAGGCGGGAAGGGTCACGGGTTGCTGTCTGTTGGGGGTCCTTAGGAGGTCGGGGGCGCGGTCTTGGGGAGCCAGGGCCGGCCGTGTACTCACAATGCCGGGAAGGTCGGCGTATTTAGGGTCCGCCATGGCGGCGGCGAGGCGGGGTTGGGGGACCGGGGCCTCGGTGGAGCCGGGGCCGGTGTTCGGGTAGGGGAGAGGCTGGGTCCGGGTCCAGGATAAGGCGGCCGCAAAGGGAGCGGCGGAGGAGGCGGAGGAGTAGGAAGTCTCGCGACAGGAGTAGTACAGGGGAAGGGTGAAGCAAAAGTCGCGAGAACAACCCGCTACCACACCCCTGGAGTGACAGGGATTGGCGAGAACAAGACCTGGGAATGACGTAGTGGCGGGGAAGCGTCGCCTAGGATTGTGGGATATGTAGTCTTGGATGATCCGGCTTGGGCGGGTGACGGACAATAACGCGCCTTGGGAGTTACCTCGTACGACTTATTTTCTTTCGTTTTTACGTCGAGTCTGTGAAAGAGCTTTTATAATTCCTGTTTCTCGAATAAATTTGGACTCCCAGAAATTAAATGACTAGGTAAAAATAACACAACTAGGCATGCTATGGCACAGCCAGGGCTTCGAAACAACAATAACAACAAGTAAAATTTAGTAAAGATTTAGTCATGTTAGGAATGAGAAAGTTAAGTAAACTTCTCAGGTTAGGGCTGTCAGGTAAAATACAGAGCACCTAGTTAAATGTGAATTTCGGATAAACAACTAATAGTCTTTTCAGTATAAGTACGTCCCATACGGTATGGTACATACTAACACACACAAATTATTAGTGTTTCATCTGAAATTCAAATTTAACTGGGCTTCCTGTTTTTGTTTTTCAAATCTGGCAATTCTACCTCAAATAGAATAGGCACTTGGTAGCACCATGTCTGTCTGAATACCTTCTGTGCTCTTAATCCCTTCACTAATGGTTTTCAGACTTTTGAATTTCACAGTTCAATACAATTAAAACAACAAAAAACCTTTTTGAAGATAGGCATAGTATTGCTACCTTTTTATTTTGCCAAGTAAGTACATTAAAAAAAAAAAACCTACTCTCTACTATTACCATCATTACTTAGTAGAAAAGTATGGAAGGACATACAGTACTCTCAGAATAAAAGTCCTTTGAAACAACAAATCCAGCTTTATTAAAAAAAACTTAACCACATTCCACATTGTGTGGTGGCTTTTTGGGGGAGGGATGCATACACATGAACTTTTTTCTCTGACCAGTGACCCTCTATGGACTAGCATTTTGAAACTCCTTCACTAAGGATGCCATCCTGGAACCCTTGGGCGCCTGAGGTTGGGCTATTTCCTGAGCTTGCAGGATGCTGCAACAATTAGAAATAGTGCCAGACCAAGTGACTGAAGAAATGCCTATATTTCTGAGTTTATAGGAACTCATTGTCATTCTATGTGTCCTCTCTTGGCTCCTCCCCAAGCCTCTTTCTCCATAGTCCTACTGCCTACCCATCCAGCTTCTTATGCTGAACCCTTTTCCTTCAGTTTCCTTAAGATTCAAGGTGAGTTAGGGGTATATGTCCAACTTGGAGACCCCTTCAGCTGCCTTCCGAGTGGTTAGGTCTTGTCTGGCCAGGCCATCTTTCTCTCCTCCTTGCCTCATAGTATAGTATCTAAGTGACCCTAGACACTTACCAGGCAATTGCTAGGCAGAACCAGGCAGAACCTCCATCCCCTCCTCCCTTCTTCTCCCATCACCCTGCTCCTCCCCTTGGCCTAGAGCCTCAACTCCTGCAGTCTAACTCTGTTGGCCAGCAGAGGCCCTGTGACGTGGAGAAAAATCTATCTGGCCAGTTTCTAGGTGGTTCTGTCCAGGGGCTGCAGCAGGAGTCTGACCTGAGGGGAGGAAGGACACAGAATCTCTAGCCTTGGCTCTTTTTTTCCCAGGGAAGGGAGAGAAACAGAAGAAGGGCCTGAGAAAGGGGCTGGTGTGTTGGGACTCTGTCCAACAGTACTGAGACAGGAAACACTCACGTAGGTGCCTAAACCTGCCTGAAGCCCAAATGCAGTTGTCTGCTCTAGAGGTCCTTTCTCAAATCCCCTCTGGCCTTACCCACCGCCATCATCACCCCTCCATCACTGCTTTCTGACTCCCTTTCTCTTGCAAAATTACTCTTGCCCACCTCCATCCCAGCCCCAACCTATGAGGCAAAAATAAGAATTTTACCTGCTTTTGAATTCTAATAGGCCAGAATAGGAGTTTTTCTTCCTTCCAACTGGGGACCTATTGTGTATGTTGGGGAGAGAGTAGAGTGCACCTTTGGATGTAGAAGGGGAAGGGAAGACCCAGACCTCCTTTGACCCTCCTCTCTGAAAAAATGGGACCTGGACACCCACCTCCATAGGGGTACAGGCAGCTGCCCTTGAAGGCTGAGTGGTGGGCTGGGAATCTTTGCGAGGGTTGTGGGGAGAGGGGAGGAGAGGTGTGCTCCCACTTTGGAGAGAGGATTGTGATGGGGGTGAAGGATGCCTTGGAATAAAGGTGTAAGCACTATTGACTCTCTTCCCCGGACAGTAGACAGGCCCACCTCGGATCCCTTAGCCCTTCCAGGAGGGTGGAGTCCGAGCGAGGGACAGACGGGTCCGGGATGCAGGGGGTGGGACGCAGTGAGTGACTGAGGTGGGGAAGGGGTGAGGACCAGATACTCTCCGAGGGTTAGGGGTGGGGAGAGGAGGCGAGAAAAGGGCAGAGGCGCCGCGGTTCGGCGGTGGGCGCCGCGGCGTGGCATCCCCCAGCGAAGGAAGCCCCGCCCCGCTCCTCCATCGCCGCCCCGCCCAGGCCCGCAGCGCCGCGCTGCAGCGCAAGGGGCGGAGAGGCAGAGCGCCGAGAGAGGACCAGACGCCCAGGTCTCCCGCATCCCGGTGCCGCAGGAGCGAGGAAGCGCGCCTCGGCCCTGTTCCCCAGCCTTCGTCCAGGCGCCCGCCGCGCCTTTCTGAGCCCCAGAGACCGAGCGCCTGTCCTCCGCCTGGGCCTCAGCTGAGCCCCTCTCCCCCGGAGCACATACGCCCCTGCAGCAGAAGAAGTGCCCCAGCCCCACACCGGCGACCACCATGGCCGAGACCAACAACGAATGTAGCATCAAGGTGCTCTGCCGATTTCGGCCCCTAAACCAGGCCGAGATTCTGCGGGGGGACAAGTTCATCCCCATTTTCCAAGGGGACGACAGCGTCGTTATTGGGGTGAGTGCCGCCCCTGGAGGGAATTTCGGAGAGGGGGCGGGAGGCTGAATCTTTTCCCCTGCCGAGCCTCAGCCCCTGCCTGTCTCTGCGCCCTCTCTCCACCGCTCATCCTCCATCCTTTTCGCCGCAGCCCCTCCTCTCCCTGCATCAGGATGGCTGGGTGTGGCCTGGCCAGGCCGGCGGCCGAGTCTCTGCAGAGCGAGAGGGGGCTACTTTCCCGCGATCAGGGGACCGGATTCCCCTTTGCTGCGCTCTGCAGCGTCCCCACCCCTAGAGCCAGTCCCATGTTTTTCTGATGTTTTCCTTCTTCCCTAGGGAAAGCGCATCTTCCCTTTGTTATTGGCTCAGATCTCTACCCCCCACCTCCCAGGAAGGGGGAGACTAGTGGATGGGCTAGATGAGAGGTGGGCAGTCCAGGGTCTCTGCGGAGGTATAAATGAGAGTGGACTCTAGGATCAAGACCTCCATCATTCCCTGAAGTAGTTACAGCCTGGACTTGCGGGGAGGGCACAGGTCTGATGAAGGGTTTTCAGAGAAAGAAATATGTTGGTGCCACACCCAGTTTGGTGGGGGAGCCTCTGGGTCCTAAGGAAATGTCTGCCTTTCTCTCCCAGGTACAGTAGGAGGAGGATTTCAGACCCCTCAGCTCACCCTAACAAATAAAAATAACCAAACCCTGAGATCCTAACAAGTAGTTGCGTATTCATCCTTTCTCTTGATGATCCAATAAAAAGTAGCAAACCATCTCCTCTACCTCATCATGACAGCCCCTACCCATGGAAGAGGCCTTGTTAAGAAGGAGAACTAGTATTTACTGTGTGCTTGTTACTCTACATATATTATTTAATCTTCAAAACAACACTCTGAAGAAGGTATTAATATTTCCACTTTACAGATGAGGAAATTGAGGCCCAAAGAAGTTGAATGACTTTCTCAAGGTCACACTGTTAATTCACGGATCTGAACCTAAATCTGTGACTCCAAAGCTCACGTCTTTCCTTCTGTATCACATTGCCTCCACGGTTTTCTGTTCTGGACTTTTATCTGTGATGGCTCCAAAGGAATTCCTAGGGAATTCCTCACCTACCCCTCCTTTCCTAGATTGGTTGGGACTGTCAGGCTATGGGGTGAAAAGATCTGGGGTTCAGTCCAATAGGGAGTCAGGCTTAAGGGGTGCTGGGCCAGGAAACTGTAGCCAGTTTGAGAAGGGAGAGGCCCATATAAGGACCATCCTCAAGGTCAGGGGCACTTCTTATGTGTCTTTGATCCACAGTGCTTGGCACAGGGCATGCTTGTTAAAAGAATGAAGGGAAAAAAAGGGAGGGAGCCTGGGCCTTCTGAATCAGTGAGATTGGGACTTTGAGTAAACATGCCTTAGGAAGAGACTTGCTTACATGTCCTGTCCCTAAGGGCCCTAGTCCATCACCAGGCTCTCTCACCCACACTATGGACTCAAGTGGGTGCTTTCGCCCTGTGTGTGTGCTTATGTATGTGTGTGTTTGCCACATAGAGAGGGCCCCTGCTTCTCTTTGTCTCAGGGACGTTAGACCTTGCAGTCTGGTCAGTCTGGCCAGGCTAAAATAATGCCTGGATCAACCCTCGGGGCCTCTTCTCTGAATAGTCTGGACAATGGGCGTTAGCTGTGAGAGTTAGAGCTTGAGGGCCCCCTGAGACATAAAGGCTGAGAAATAGGAGAAAGGTAGTTACAGAGGAACAAATCCACAAAAGGCTTCCACTTTTAAGGCTAGCTTCCTTGCTCTGGGTTTTTTAGGTAAATCTGAACCAACTCCTTTAGGCTCTCTGGGCCATCCATCCTGGCACGGTGGGCGCAGGGCATGGGGTGATGTTGGGAGGAGTTGTGTTGATCTGTCCGATTTGCCTAGCTAAACAGGAGAGACGTGGTGGAGGTTGGGAGGGAGGAGAGATGAAGAGAGGCCCAGGGCCCCCTGCCAATTCAGATTCTATCTTACTCCACAGCTGTTCCTTCCTTATCTGTTTTGCCTGATGTTTGCAGGCCTGTACCTTTGTCTTGCTCTGTATCTTCCCTTGCCCTAGCCCTTCCTGTCAATCTCTCCTGCCAAGATAAGTGCTTATGGGGGGGCCATTTTGTCTCAGGCAGCATCCTTGGAGCTTGCCTTCCCAGCCTTTCTATTCATTCCTCATTCCGGAGGATGAGGGCTATAGGAGAAGTGATTTTGAGGAGTGCCTTGAGGGTCCCAACAAGGGGAAGAAATCTCCCATTCCCTTTCTTCTCTCTCCCTCTAGCTCCCTTTGGGGACCAGTGTGTGGGAAACTGAGGAATTCATGGAGCAAGCAGCTTCAGGATGTCTGGGAAGGTGAGGGAAGGATGAAGGTGGGAGAGGCTAATCTCTCCAAGCCCAACCCCTGCTCCTTTCTCTGACGGCTCTCCTCTCTGCACTGCGGCTAGCTCTGGGCTACAGAGTCCCTAATGTTCATGGGCTTTTTCTGCTTGGCAAAATGTAGGAGAATAAGCTGGGAAGACAGCCCTGTGAGCCATATCCACACCGGCCCCCCATGACTTCTCCCAGGAATCTGGGGGATGGAGCTTTGCCCAAGTTAATGGCCTGAGTCATAGTAGAAGGGTGTCTGGGTCACTGTCTGTGTGTGCTATGTACCTTGTTTTGCTCTTTGGGTTACTCAGAATCCACTGTGACTTTTTAAGTGGACCCCTTTAAGTGTCTCTCTGCCTTGGTCTTGGTGGGCAGAGTGCCTGCTGTCTGAGCTGTTGCATCTATACCAGACACGGGAGGGATGACAGCAGGGAAACACATAGCCTCTCCGACCCCCCCCCAACTTCCTCTGTCCCTCCCCTTCCCTCCCTCCCTTCCTCCCTCCCTCATTCAAGTATCTACCACATTCTACCTCCCTTAGGTCTCCTGATGGTTAAGTGGGTTCTTAAGGAGGCAGAAAAGCAGGGTCACCAAGTACCTCATTTGGAAAAGCCAGGTTGGGACCGGCAGGATTATTGGAACAGGGTCAGTATTGTTTGAGGTGGCTCAGGATTCCTTTGATGTCTGAAGAGAGTGAGTAGTCTCCCCTTAGCCTTGGGCGAGTCTGTAAAGGAAAATGGAGAGGGGAGGTAATGTTCACTGTGGCCAGTGTCTCTCCAGCATTACCATGGCAACAATCCCCAGGGGTGTCACTATGGAAATCAGTCCTGGTGCTCTGAAGTTCAGCCTCTACCAAGTGCTTTAGCAAAGGTTGAAAAGGTTGGTCGTCTTTGGAGCCCTGATCTTAGGCCCTCCCATTAAGCTTTAGTCAGTACACACGGTGGAAAACTCCAGAAAGTGCCGGGAAACACAGTTGGACAGGAGACAAGGTAGCTTAGAGTGGGTCAGAGGAGAACAGAGTCCTGGGTTGGGGGACTCTGAAGAGAAGCCCTCTGGAATAGGCACTGAGGAGCGCTTAGACTGCTGTGGGTGGAGACATAGTGGAGCTCAGAGGCATTCCTCGAAGGTGGAGGGTCTCCCTGAGTGTTTCTGACCTAACAGTCTTCTAGTCCCTGACGCTGTACTGAGTCACAGAGTCTTGGATTATTACCTGGAGGTAGAGATGGTGAGGGAGGCTCCTTGGAGAGGATGGGTGGGAGAACTGCATTCTTCTGAAAAAGGGGGTGAGGTTGCCAAAAGGGAGTGATGAAGGGCTTTAGCTCTGTCCAGAAACATTTGGAGAAATGCCCACATGGAGGGGGGCGGGTGGGGTAGGGGAAGGAAAAGCCACGATAAGGATCTGACGCAGTGTTGGTACGTCAGTTCTGGGATCCCTTTGGCAGTGTGGGTCTGGAATCAGACTGCTTGGGTTTGAAACCTTGCTCTACCATTTCTCAGCTGTTTGACTTTGGGCAAGCTACCTTACCTCTCTGAACCTCAGTTTTCGCATCTATAAAATGTAATAATAATTGTACCTACTTCCTACGATTGCTGTGAGCATTAAATGAGATAATGCATATAAACTGCTCAGCACAGTGACAGGCACATAATAAACTCCCAATAAGAGTTAGATGTTATTATCATTTTATATGTGCTGTCTCCCCACAAGCTAACCTTTGGCACAACTGGGCAGTGGTTAACATTTTCCCCTCTTACTGGTTGTTTCATCCAAACATCCAGGTCCCTAGTATCTTCTTGCTCTCTTCTTCCATCAATATCTGTGCTTCTTTAACAAATATTTACGAAGAGCATCCTGTGGGCCAGGGACTATGCTTGATGTTGGGGATTTAGAGGGAATCCCTGCTTTCAGGAAACACTTGGTCTACACAGTGATCCAGGCTGAAAAGTGGCCTGGGCAGAGTCCTGGGAGGGGGCATCAGAAATGGCTTTTGCTAACTGTACGTACACTTCCCCAGATTCTGATAAGAAATCTCCCACAATGTACTACAGTCTGACTTAGAATAAATATGTCATGAAAGATGTGAATAATGGTGATGCTTCCCATGTGAGCAATCTAGAAGTGGAAAAAGTGGAAAACCACTGGTCTAGTTATTCTCATAAAAAGATCTGAAAAAACGAGTTCACCGTGGCTGTAATCAATAGAAAATCAAAAGACATTTGTACTTCAACAGATATAAAAATCTTAAGAAATGAACTAGATTTGGGACTCAAGGGCTCAACCAAGAGGAGGGAAGTGGTAGAAGGCCTTCCCAGAAACCCTAGAATTGTATCCATGGCTTTCTCTGCTCACGAGATTACTAAGTGCACCCATTTTTAGCTCTTGGATATTTTTTATCCTCATGGTTCCGAGAATGCCACCCTTCCTCCCTCTCTGGTCTCTTCCTTCCTCCCAGCCTAGGCTGAGGAAAAGGAGTTCCTTGGGCAATAAGTACCTTCAGCACTTGGAGAGCGCCCTCCATTTCATTGAGTCCACAGCACCCTCTGGAATCCTGTAACTGGGAGTGTTAGAGAAGAGAGAGAGTTAATCCCCACGTTCCCAGAAGGGAAGAAGGGAGCGGCGAGGTTGGCTTGAGAGTTATGTTTAATCCC